CAGCAGGTCAGAATTTCCTGCCTTTAAGGCTAAATAATATTCCATGTGTGTGTTCTACTCACTTTAAAATATTTTACTGCAAAAGAAAAATTTTAAAAAAACCTTCAAATTCACTCATAGTCCTTTAAACTAACCAAACTGCTCACTATTTTACTGGCCACCTGGCCATATGAAGATTCACTTCAGTAATTTTCAATCACATTGTAGATAGAATTTTAAAGACCACAATTTTATTACACCACAAACAATTTTTTGCTGGAAACAAGGTAGACTTATTATTCTTGGAAACCATTACACCAAGCACCTTGGTGAGGGGTTCGATCCCCCCTGTACTGGTCACGCTGTTGTACCACAACTACAATCTTGTCCTCAAAAAAAGACAAATTCTAGCCAGGATGATATAATTATGCAAAAGGAAAGACAACATATCAAGTGTAAAATAGAGATGAGAAGCACTAAAAGTTTCAGGGGAAAGATATGGCCTGCTTTAATAATTATCTACTGATTGCCCTGGCAGGGTAGCTCAGTTGGTTTAGAGCGTCATCCTAATACACCAAGGTTACGGGTTCGATCCTCAGTCAGGGCACATACAAGAATCAACCACTGGGGTACATCTACACGATGGAATACTATGCTGTTGTAAGAAAGAAAGAATTCCATCATTCGCAACAGCATGGATGGACATGGAGAGCATTATGCTAAGTGAAATAAGTCAGTCGGAGAAAGATAAATATCACATGATCTCACTCATTTGTGAAATATAATGAACAACATAAGCTGATGAGCAAAAATAGAGCCAGAGACAGAGAAGCATCGAACAGACAGAGAAGCATCAAACTTCAGAGGGAAGGCAGGGGAGGGAGGAGAGCAACCAAAGGACTTGTATGCTTGCATATAAGCATAACCAATGGACACAGACATTAGGGGTGTGAGCACATGTGCTGGGGTATGGAGGTGGCCAGGGAGAGGTCAACAGGGGAAAAAGGAGACATATGTAATACTATTTGTAATACTTTAAATAATAAAGAAGAATCAACCAGCTCTAACTGGTTTGGCTCAGTGGATAGAGCATCGGCCTGCGGACTGAAGGGTTCCAGGTTCGATTCTGGTCAAGGGCATGTACCTTGGTTGTGGGCATATCCCCAGTAGGGGTGTGCAGGAGGCAGCTGATCAATGTTTCTCTCTCATCGATGTTTCTAACTCTCTATCCCTCTCCTTTCCTCTCTGTAAAAAATGAATAAAATGTATTTTTTTAAAAAAAAAAACAAAGAAGAATCAACCAATGAGCCCTGTCCAGTGTCTCAGTGGTTAGAGCGTCAGCCCATGCACCAAAGGATCTTGGGTTTGATTCCCGGTTAAGGGCACAGGCACATACCTGGGTTGCAGGTTCGATCCCCAGCCCTGGTCAGGGAGTATGTGGGAGACAACCAATCAATGTATCTCTCTCACATTGGTGTTTCTTTCTTTCTCTCTCTCCCTCCATTCCTCTCTCCTTCACTCCCTTCCACTCTCTAAAAATCAATGGGAAAAATATCCAAATATCCTGAGAATTAAGAAAACAACAAAAAGAAGAATCAACCAATTAATGTATAAACAAGTGGAACAACAAATCAATGTTTCTCTCTCTCTCTCTCTCTCAAATCAATCAATAAAAAATTATTATTATTTACTGATCATTTACTATGAAAAAAAGTAGAAACAAATACCCAAAATAGGGG